CATCTCGGCTTCCGCATTTCGCCTTCCGCAATCATTTCGCATTTCGCTTTCCGCAATCATTTTGCGCTCGGCGCCGATTTCGCATGTCGCCCTCGCATTTCGCATTTGCCGTTGCGATCGGCGCCCTTTCGCATCTCGCCTCCACGGCGCGCGCGCCGGCGACCCCCCGGCACCCGCGGCCGCGGACGCTGCGGCTCAGAGCTGCCCGGCGTGGGCAGGGCTGAGCCGCGCAGCCCACGGGGGACAGGCGGTGGTGTCGCACACCCCCTTTCCCCCCCTTGGGGACACGACACCGTCCTCGTCTCCAAGAGCACTCTCAAGAGGGACCCAAGATGCAAAATTCACTGATTTTCCTAAGGTTTTGGAAAGATTTTGGTGCTTCCATCTTTTCGGCTTCCCGACGCCCCAAGACGGCCCAAGAGGCCCCCAAGATCACCCCAAGAGCGGGCCTCCTCGGGGCGCGGCGGAGAACTCCGTCGAGGTCCTCGCCTGCCACCCCCCCAGGGTGCCGGTTGCAGGCCACACCCTTCTCAGACCACATCCTGCGGAGTCGCCGACCGCCGAGCAGCGGGCGTGTCAAAAGCTTCGAATCATCAGGAGTAACTCGGGTCGGGGCTATCTCATCTCGGGTTCGGTTATCGGGAATCCGAACCCGAGTTGCCCCAGGCCCGAGTTACCCCGGATAGCTCGGGCGTCCAGACCCCGAATCATCAGGGGTTCTTCGGGTCAGGGCTAAGTCGGTGTCGTTTTTCAGGAGTCCGAGCCCGAGTTGCCCCGAGGCCGAGCTACCCCGGATAGCTCGGGCGCCAGCGTGTTCCAGCATCTGCGCCGTGCGCGGAAGGTCGGAAGGGGCGCGCGGGCAGATGGTCAAGGATCGTTTCCCTCCTTCGGGAGGATTTTGGGCAATGAGAGGGGGGAGAGGCATAGGGGGGTCGCATCGACCCCCAATCGCCCATTAACCGCCGTTAGTCAGGCGATCGCAAACATGGATCAAGGGGGCGTGGATTAGCGACGGGTCCCGTTTCCATGGGAAACCGCGGATTTCCGCCGCCGAACGAGGCGGCTCCGGCCGCATATTGGGGAGGTCGCCTCCCCCGATCCATGGATTTGGCGACCGCGCGCTAAATCCATAGATCGCCAATCCATGTTTGCGCGCCCTCGAGTTAGGGGCCCGATAGCCCCAACCTGCTCAGGAAGGTGCGGAGATGTATCGCCGGTTCCAGGTCGATGCATCGCCCCATATGCCAGTCCCCCTCTATCGTTGCCCATCAGAGGACGAGGAGCGCGCCAGCCAAGGACGAGCGTCACAGTCTGGTCAGGACGACGTCGACGGCGGCGCGGTGGGTCGAGTGCAGCGAGGCTGGCCCAGGTCAGGGCACCTTGGGAGTTGGCAGCTCCCGTGGAGTTGGCGCGACGACAATCAGTCGGGTTGACCCAAAAGGGGATGATGATGATGATGATGATGATGATGATGATGATGATGATGATGATGATGATGATGATGATGATGATGATGATGATGATGGTGATGATGAGAAAACCGCTCCCCAAGATGCCCCAAATATGAGGCACCGACGGTCTGTCTGGCAGTGCCGCCCAGAGCTTTCTTGCTGGCCCCAAGAGGCCACCGACCACGGACCCTGACGACGGCCGCAAGTGGCGTTGTTCGGGCTGACCCACAAGGGGGCCCAGCGACATGGGAATGGTGCAATAGATGTGGTGCAGTAGATCTGTGGGGTTGCAATACCTCTGGGGCGTGGAATACATTTCGGGGCGCAGACGTGTTGCTGCATCTCCGCGCGCCACGCATTCATCGTTTTCAATGCGAGGCAACTCGATTCTCGGGCGCAGCACGTTTGCAATACAATTGCCCCGAATCTATAGCACCACCCCCTTTCAGCTGGACCCCATTCTGGGTCACCCAAAATCAGGCCCTGTGCTGCACGCAGATCGGCGAGTCCGAGGCGATGGGTTCGCCGCCCTCGGACAGCTCGAACTCTGCGCCGTGCAAACTTTGAGCGCCAAGAGGGATACCCTCAGTCTGTGGCACTTCACTGCTTGTGGACGGCTACTCGATCTGGCTCCTGTTGCATCGACAGTGGAAGGCTAACGTTGAGTCGGGCATGTCCCTCTACAGATGGAATAGTCAAGCATTGTCAAAACATAGCTTCGACTATTTTAGTTTGATTTATTTGACTAAAGATCAGAATTTCTTTTCCAAAATCCGCCTGTGGGAGGACATGCCCGACCCAAGGCTAACCTTCAGAATATGCTCACGCCGGATGGGGCAGAGTGAGCTGTGTCGCGCCTGCCCTGCTCACGCTGGATGGGGCATAGCGAGCTGCCGTCGCGCCTGCCCGGCCAGGCTGCCTCCCTCCATCTTGAAGAACCCCCGGCGTGCTTGGTGGACTTGCTGGCCTTTCCTTCGCCAGACGCAGCGGTCATTCCTAGGGCTTTGCTTGCACTCGCTCATCGCGGATACTGTCGAGGAAGAAAAACGCCATAAACATGAATTGTTGGATCTCCGCGCGGATTCATGAAGTCCGCACGGAGCGCCAAAAGTTTATGTTTATGGTGTGTTTCTTTCCTTTATTGCTTGTACTCGCTCACCGCGCTTGATGGTTCGAACATCTTTGAGTTTTGCGTCGTGTCTTAAAGACGGCGACTACGCTGCGGGCGTTCAACGTTGAATGACGCCCGCAATCTGAAGTTTCGGACATGGCCGATCGTTCAAGGTTGAAAGATCCTTGCGGTGTCAGAAATCAACACCGAAATCGGCACGAGGTGAACTTGCCCAACGCCTGCTTCGCTGCCACGACCAGATCTTGTTCAAGATGCATGCCCTTCTGGACACAGGTTTTACTTCAGGCTTACGGTAGGTTCGGGTCGTGTCGACCCGCGATGACTCCAGCACGGGCGTTTTCAGGTTGAACGCCGCCCGTGGCCCAGAATCGGCCCATCGTTGAAAGATTTGGTGTTTCTGAAACGGCCGTTCGTCCAAGCTTGACCGATCCCCGCAGTGTCAGGATTCAACGCCAGGGCCGGCGCGACTCGGACCTGCCGGGCACCTGCTGCACTGCCCCGACTGCCTGCAGCTCCGTGTGTTTCCTCGGCACGGTTTTGCCCGCCAAGCTGAACGCATGCCTCCGCGCGACTCTCGTGATCAGTTGTGCGGCCGCCATGGGTCGGGCCGGGCGAAAGGGGGGGATTGGGAAAGGGGGGGTTACGAAATTTGCTACATGCAGCTGGTTTCGGCCTCACCGAGGGGCCCATTCCTCGATACATGGGCGCCTCCTGGCGCTGGGAGGCGCCGGGGAAATCAGCTACGCGAGCTGATTCTCAACCCCCCCCTTTGCTATCCCCCCCTTTCGCCCGACCCGAATGGGGCACGACGGCTTCAGGGTTGTCTTTGCCTGCGCCCCTAGCGGCATCAAGCCGGGGAAACCAGACACCTATATATATATATATATATATATGCACCACCATACGGTGGGTGCGTTCGTTGAGGAATGGGCCCAGGAGGCTTCAGACCCTGGGGGATTCCTGATCTGATGAGGGCGGCAGTGTTATCCATGGCCGATCCACGATCGGAGGTTCACCGGCTTCCAGACCCTGGATTCCTTACGTATAAGGGTTCCTTATCCAATGCCCTCCTCATCGTACTCCGAGCTTCTTGATAGGCGTCGGGGGGGCGTCACCCCCGCCGACAGGCCCGCCTCGATCCCCGTCGCGGGCAGCCACCAGGCGCCGAAGGCGCTCCGACCCCCGTCGCGGCGCGACGACGAGGCGAGGCTGACCCCCGTCGGGGGGGTTACCCCCCCACGCTCAGCAAGAAACCCAGAGAAGATTTCCGTTGACAGAGGCGAGCATGTGGGACAGCGGGGGAAGACAGAGAGCCCAAACCTCTCCGGAACCCATGCCACCCGTGTGGCGCGCTGGGGTGCGCATGCCTTCTCGACAAGGGGCGCGAGGATCTGGCTCGTATCCACCAGGGCAAGCACCCCAGTCAGCGCCGACCACCTGCCGAAGCAGTTGAAGCCTATCCCTCCGGCGTGCGACGGAGCGAGGCTCGTCGAGGAGCGCACTTTCCTGGAGTGCTGTGGTGAGGGGTTCTTCTACGTCGAGTGTGGCGTAGATTCCCATAGAACTCTCCAAGGCCCGTGCTCCTCACTGTAAAGGACGAATCAAGTGCATCATCATCAGCCGTCAACGGCCCGCGCGGACTTCTGTCATCCAGGCGGACCTCCTGAAGTTTCCGCTGATGTAATAGTTCGCTTGCTTTGAGCGTCAGAGATCGGTCTACTCATCAAGCTTATGGGCAACTATAGTCAGGAGTGGAAAGGGCACACAGACACAATGAATCGTCAATCATCAGGACAGTAAAGGAAACCATAGGAAGTTTGGGGAAGACGAACATCCTTAAAACATTGGAACATATTGGGGATCCTGGGATCTCTGTCTGTTTATTTATGTGTCCCAGGGCCCCTCCATACAGGCGTAGAAAGTTCACCTCTGTGCTGGTTTCTCTGCTTCTTTCGGAACTCTTCGGCGTCTGAGCGTCCCTTCTTCCTCCCGCCCGTCTCCCGCCCCCCCTCTTTGCTCGCCGGCCAACTCGCTAGTCAGTGCCCCATATCTAGCTTCTCGCTGGAGCGGAGTTTGCCGCCGACGGGAAAAGGTCCCATGGCCCCTTCATTACGTTGCATCTTCGGGGGACCTTGCCTGTCCCCAAAATTGGTGTCTTTTCTCGTGTCCAAGGCAGGCTTGATGGGGACTCGACGCGGACTTGGCATGGATTCGACGCGCATCCGACACGGATTCGACACGGATCCGACGAGTCCGACATGGATCCGACACGGATGCGACGCGGATAGGACCGCGACGGGATAGACAAGGTCCCTTGAGGATGCCACATAACCTTCCTGCAGGCGTAGAGGGTTCACCTGCGTGCCGGTCTCCTCTGCTCCCCGCGCCTCCAGGCCATCCGCCCAGCCGCCCGCCAGGAGGCGGCTCTTCGACCTGCACGCCCAGCGCGCTCGGGAGCAGTCGGCCGAGCTGGAGGCCGAGGCGAGGCCGCGGCGGCCCGGCGGCGGGGGGGGGCCCGTGGGTTAGGATGTTTCGGCCTCCTCCTCCTCCTCCTCCTCCTCCTCCTCCTCCTCCTCCTCCTGGTTTCGCCTTGATCACCAGGCAGAACGTCGAACACCAAGAAGGTACCGAAGCTGGAGGGCTGTCACGTGCTGGGCCCCGGGAGGCGATGCCCATTCAACACCGTGCCGAATATTGCGAAGGCCTTACGGCCGGTGCCGCCGACCCTGAATGGCGACGACGACGACGACGACGACGACGACGAGCGCTCTTGGAGGCCTCTTGGGGGGGTAGTTTGTGGGCCTCTTGGGAAGCTCTTAGGGGCCGCTTGGAAGCCTCGTGGGGGCCTCTTGGGGCTTCCTGGGGGTCTCTTGGAAGGGGCCTGGGACGTCTTGGAGGCTTCTTGGACGGTCTTGGGGCTGTCTTGGGCGTTTTCGGCCGATCTTTGGGCGACTCGGGGCCCTCTTGGGCCGTCTCGGGCGCCATCTTGGGCATTCGGACATCATTTAAAGTGTTTTCGAGGTTTCTAGGCCGCCCGAGGAAAAACGAATCTGCCCCCCCACCCCACCCCCGACTCCCCTCCCCCCCACCCCCCCCCCACCTCCCCCAGGACCCCCCCCCCTCCCGGGACCCCCCCCCCCCCGGGGAAGGGATCAAAGGGAAGGTGCTTCCCTTCGAATCTACAACGGCATGGACATTCGAATATTTGTTCTGGGGTGCTCGGAATGGTTTTTGGGAAGCGGTCCTTCAGCTCGATGGGGGCGTCATAGCCCGCGGCCCGAGTCGCTGCCCAGGCACGCGCCGCGGAGGGAGTCGCGGGTTTGTGCGTTGCCGGCCAGCGGGCACGGGACGCTTCACAAGGGTGGTTGTCGGGGGCAGCGAGATGGGGGGATTCGGCATAGGGGGGGGTGCATCAATTCCCAAGCGCCCACTGATCGCCAATACGGGCCCGATGGCCCCAACCTGGTCAGGAAGGTGCGGATTCACTATCGGAGGCCTATCGCCGATCTATGGCGATGTATCGCCGATTCCAGGTCGATGCATCCTATGCCAGTCCCTCCCTATCGTTGCCCCTCATGTTACAGTGGGGGTTCCATGCCAAGAAGCATCCTGCTTGCCTCCACGGTGCCTGGGGTTTCTTGGGTTTCGAGGGTTCTTCGATGGAAAGCGTGATGTCCCCACGCCGAAAATGGATGGACGTCCTGGGGTCTCAGGGCTAGGTTTCTTGTGGAAGGTTTCTTGTGGTCGGGCCTCCATGGTATGTGTGTAATGCGAACTCGCGTGTGTGCGCGTGTGCCCCAAGCTGCGATGGTGGCTTGTACGGTGATCTGATGCGATCTCGCTCCGCCGCTCTGACTTGCACCGCCCCGTCGCCGCGCGCGGGGCCGAGACCGCTGAAAAGTGCATGCGTGTACGCCTACTACTCTCCATCCCACTTCCGCCTCCCTACTCTCTTTCCCGTTCACTCTCTTTATTCACTGATATTGCACACATCTCTCTGTATGTATGTGTATAGCGGTTTCCGTGCTTCTGCGTCTTTGGTTGTGTCGATCTCTCTATCTGTATATACCCATCGTAATTATGCGTATCCATATATATATATACACTATCCATAATGACCGATAGTTCCCTCTGTGCATTTCCACATTAATTCTACATATCCATGTGTTCTCTCTGTCTCTCCCTCTCTCTCATTGTTGTCTCTCTCTCTCTCTCTATATATATATATATGGGCACACACCTATATCCATAATATTAAGCATACTATATATATTCCCCAATCAGAGTTAGCCTCTATAGGGGTCCTAGCGGATTAAAGGGTTAGGTGAGGTTGGTCGCCGATTTCGGTGGCCGGGCCCGGGTGCCCGGGTGCCCGGCGGTGCCCGGGTGGCCGGTGAGGTGCGTGGCCGATTTCGGTGGCCGGGCCGGGGTGCCTGGGTGCCCGGGGGTGCCCAACAGCCCAGTAGCCCTATAGCCCTATAGCCGTATAGCCCTATAGCCCTGTAACCCTATAGCCCGATATCCCGATAGCCCTAATAGCTTTATATCCCCATATCCGTATAGCCCCATAGCCCATATAGCTCTATAGCCCCATAACCCTATAGCCCTAGGGCCCTATAGGTCACAGTCCTATAGCCCTATAGCCCGATAGCCCTATAGCCCGATAGCCCGATAGCCCTATAGCCCTATAGCCCTAACAAAACATGTATCGGGTGTTTTTCTCCGGTATCATTATATAAATATCTGTATATATAGTGTGTGTGTGTGTGTGCTCTCTCCCTCTCTCGCTCTCTCTCCTCCCTCTTCCAGCCTCGCCTATCCCTCTGCCTCTATCGCCCCATCCCCCTCGCCCACGCGCGAGGCTGTACTTCTAGCGCAGCAGCAACAGCGGCAGGCGAGCCAGCTGCTCTGCCGCGCGCGGCGGCAGGCCGGGAAGGAGGGAACACTCCACCCTTGTTCCTCCTCATTGTCCTCCTCCTCCTGCTCCTCCTCCTCGTCTTCTTCCTCCTCCTCCCTCTTGCTCCTCCTCCTCCTCGTCATCTTCCTCCTCCTCCCCCTCCCACTCCCTCTTGCTCCTCCTCCTCACTCGTACTCCTCCTCTTCCTTCTCCTCCTCCTCCTCCTCCTCCTCCTCCTCCTCCTCCTCCTCCTCCTCCTCCTCCTCCTCCTCCTCCTCCTCCTCCTCCCCCTCCCTCTTGCTCCTACTCCCTCCTCCTCCTCCTCCTCCTCCTCCTCCTCCTCCTCCTGGTGGGTGTGGGTCGTTTGGTTGGGTGGGTAGTAGGTCGGCGCTGGTTGTGCGTGGTTGGTGTATCCATTGTTGCCCACTGGTTGCCAGGTAGTGCTCTTTCCCTTGGCATGATGTTGCTGGTACTGTTGCGGCCGCTTGGCTTTACCTTTCGCCTGGGGTCCTGGGATTTGACCGTACATTTCTGTGGTCGTGTGTTGTGGTGGTCGTTTTGCGCTGTGGTGCTGGCTCAGTGGGCGTTGTGCAGCTTGGAGCTGCTCGTGTCTATAATGGTCTGGTGGCGTTCTGGCTGAGGCTACTCGCAGTAACGTTCGCGCTGCTGCTTCCTGTTCCCGTCCCCTGCGATGCCAGACAGGGTTTGGGGCTGTAGTCGGAGTCGTGTTCATCGGTCTGTGCACGCGAGGCGCCGCTGTCGAAGACCTGAGTCGACTTTTCTGGCAGTCGACTTGGTGCCTGTATGACGCTGCTGACGGTGTCGCGATACGTGACGCGAGTGTTGTACGTCTGGCCCGAGGGCCCAGCAGGTGCCGCAGCGTAAATGCGAGGAACAACAATTGTCAGGGTGGGATCTTGAATTTTGATGAGGCGTTTAGCAGAGGGAGGAACTGGGGAATGTGACAGAGTATATTGGGATGTCTTCGATCGCGGCTGGGGCCGCGGCTTTCTGGGCCCGCGGCCTCCTCCTCCTCCTTCGCCTCCTCCTCCTCTTCCTCCTCCTCCCTCTTACTCCCACTCCCTCCTCCTCCTGCTCCTCCTCCTCCTCCTAGTCCTCCTCTTTCGTCTTCTCCTCCTCCTCCTCCTCCTCCTCCTCCTCCTCCTCCCCTTCCTCGTTCTCGCCCTCCTCCTCCTCCTTCTCCTCCTTCTCCTCCTTCTCCTCCTTCTCCTGGCGTCAGGCACGGCTCTCAAGACGGTGACACGACGTTCGGCGCCTGGGTTTCCAGCCTTGTATAGCACAGGGCCACCTGGCCCCCGAAGTGATACCACCTGAGGGGAGTACAAGACCCGAGCCCCCAGCCCCACCAGGTTCAACCAGGAGGTCTAAGGGTGACGGCACTGGGCTTTAGAGGAGGTCAGAGGACAGTATAGGAAAACCAGGATACATTTGCAGAGGAGGGGGAGGAGGAGGAGGAGGAGGCAGGGCAGCTAGGACTTGCACGCTTCTCGTCGACCGTTTGACCATGCTTATGTGGCGAATCCTGTCATGATCAGCACGGCTTGCGACCGGTGACTTCGAGAACGGCAAGATGTGTGTGTGTGTGTGGCCGCGCTGAGGAGGACCAGGGGGGACGAGGGACGTGTGATGGGCTTGTTTTCCACCACCACCATAAGTTGGAGGGGCAGGGGTTCCTCCTCCTCCGCCTCCTCCTCCGCCTCCTCCCCCTCCAACTTACGGTGGTGGTGGTGGAAAGCAGGCCCATCAGCACAGAGAGGGGCCCAGCAGGGAAGAGGCAGGAATGGGGATGAGGGTGGCGGGTGCGGGGTCCCTTCGCCCCTTCGCCCCTTCGGCGGCGCCCGCGGTTAAGAGAGAGCTCGGGCGACGTCGCCGCACGCATCGCAGAGGCGTCGGGAGAGCGGAAGGGGGGCGGAGGCGTCTGGAGGAGGCTGCGGGAGGGGGAGGCCGTAAGGAGGAGGGGGTGGAGGGCCAGGAGGAGGACGCAGGGTGACGATGAGGAGGGCGGGAGCGGGGAGAGCGACCGAGGTGCGCCTGTTTTCAGGGTGAGGAGCGCGAGGCAGAGCGCGAGGGGGAGGGCGATGGGGAAGGCGAGTGGGAGTGCGAGTGGGCATGCGGGACGGCAGGCGTAAACCTTGGATGGGAAAGATGTGAAGGCGGCGGCGGCGGCGGCAAATGGGGATGCCGCGCGCAGGTCGCAGCTCTGCAGCAGCCCCAGGCGGTGTTCGGCGAGGAGCGGCGGGGAGCTCCGAGCCTCTCTCCCGCAACGAGGGCTGTCCGAGCGGGTGCCCACGCTGACCCGCACTGGGCACCGGCGGCGGGCTCTCTGCGTGCACGCGCGCCCGGGGACACGGCCACGTGTTCGGCCCAGTTTGGAGCCCCGTCCAGTCAGCAGCCACATGCGAACCCTACCTCCTCCTCCTCCTCCTCCTCCTCCTCCTCCTCCTCCTCCTCCTCCTGTCCCGTGGCACGCACCCGCCCCCTCGGTCTCTAAGGGGGGGTTCGGGGCTCACTCCGCTAGGGGACCTCCCGAGCGAAATGAGCCCCCCCTCCCCCCCTCGGAAATCGTTGGGGGTGGGCAGGCGGGGTTCGCACGCGGCCACCAGTCCAGTCGGCCCCACGAGGCGACCTCCGCAACAGCCGGTGGCCCGCCTGCGGCCTCCGAGCCTTGCCGTCGCGGCGGCGTGCGCGGCGTTGCCCTGCAGGCCCCCAGGTGGCCGTTCGCTCACGGCTCGTGCCGCCCCTCGGAGGCGACCCGCCGTCTGGGCACTGCCGTCCCAACCGCCTCGCCGCCCCCCGTCCCGCTGCACCAGCGGTGCGGCCTCCCTGCCTCGAGCGAGACTGGCCTGCCCGCCAGCGCGCCGCACCGTGAGAGGCGAGCACGCCGGCTCCCCTCTTTCCCCGGCCTCGAGGCATCGGCGAAGCACCCCGAGGGCGCCCTCGATCATCCTCTCGAGAGGAGGAGGCGCACGAGTTCGGGCGACGACCTGCGGCGGCAGGGGTCGGGGGCGAGCATGGGGGGGAAGGTGAGAGAAGGGGGCGGGCCTTCTCGGAAGGCTCAGAAGTTCCCCCGGGCCTTCTGCGAAGTAACCTAAGCCCTCCCCCGAGACGCAGAACAAAAACCTTTTCAGAAGGCGCGAGGGCTTCTGAGAAGTCCCGCGCCGCCTTCCGAGAAGGCCTTCTCTCAAGGGAGGAGCAACCGCCCGGACCCGACAACTGGCGTTCTCTGAACGGCCCAAGGCGTTTACGAAGCAGCCCTGCCCTGTTTTTGAACCCTGCTTTGGGTGCGTGTACGGCACGGCTCCGCGGGCCGGGGTGGCCATTGGGCGCCGCGTAATGGGGGGGGTCATAAATGGGGGGTTGGCGAGGGTGGTTCGAAAAGGTACCCCGACGGTACCTACACGAGCCCCCTGGGGCTCTGGCCCGAAAGGGGCACGAGAGGGGACCTTTTCCGATCCCCCCATTTATGACCCCCCCAGTAAGTCCCGCCCGAGGTCGTTCTCGGGGGGGGGATCTTCTGCCTCCTGCCCGCCGCCCGCACGGAGGGGAGGCAGCGAGGAGGAGGAGGCGGCACAGGGCGGGGGCCCGCCGAGGCGGCGCGCGCCGGCCCGGGCAGCGCATCCCCCTCTCGGCGTGCCCCTGGCGGGTTTTGCGCCGCGCGCGCCGGGGAGCGCGCCCGCCTCCCGCCAACACAGCAGCGAGCACGGTAGGTTCGTGCGGCGATGGCGCGCCCGCGACGCCGGCGAAGGCTTTCAAGGTTGAACGCCTCATGATAGAACGACGCTCAAGCACCGAGGGACACTGTAACGCCGTTGGGCCCGACGGAATTCAACCTTGAACGATCGGGGCCGCGATCGATTCAAGGTTGAACGATCGACGCGGTGTCAAAAACCTTTGCGCGCGTCGACGCCGCGCAAACCTACCGCAAGTGGTAACATGAAGTCCGGCCTGTCCATCTACAGGGGGGGTATCCAGACATGAGTAGTAGACAACATAGTCTGGGGACGATTTTTGTTGGAGTATGTGGTGGCTATTCGGGAGTAGCTGTCGCGTGTTTTCGTCCAGTATCCGCCTGTAGGGGGACACGCCCGACCGAATGGTAATACGCAGACAGCGATTGACAAATCGGACGGACAAGTGTTCCAGCCTCAATCGACAGCAGATTGAGCCCAAAAAGGCAAAGCACAAGTGAATCTGCACTCAGAAGCCGGGCGAAGGCTGGCAAACCCGTGGCTTCTCAAACAGAGCTCCGTGTTTTTTTCCGTGTCCTATTTTTTTCCGGGAAGCAGTTCGTTTACCGTGAAGTGCGCCGAGTTTGATTCCGTGATTCTGTTTTTGTTGTGGGAAGACCACTTTAGCATTATGTCGGGCGTGTCCCTTTACAGGGGAAATTTCGACGACAAATTTAAACACATTTAGAAATGCGTCAAAAGGGTCAACGAATATTCAAAAAACAGTCCCCAGACTATTTTGGACTACGTTTTGATAATCTGTGGTGCATTTTTTTGTAAATTTTTCGCCGAGAATCCCCCCTGCAGGGGGACAGGCCCGACTTCACTTCAGCAGCCACGGCTCTGCCAGCCCTCGCCCCGCTGCCAACATACGGCGCCGCGGACGCGGTGCCCGAGGCGCCCGGCGGGCCGCTCGAGCTCGCGCGGCGGCCCCCAGGCCAGAGCCGCCGGTGCGCCGCGCCTCGCCCCGCCGCGCGCGGGGGCCAGGCCGAGGGGGGGCCCGAGCGTCGGAGGAGGAAGATCCGGCGATCGCAAGCACGGATTTGGGGGGGCGCGGCTTAGCGAAGGGTCCCGTTTCCATGGGAAGTCGCGGACTGCCGCCGCCGGGCGAGGCGGCGCCGGCCGCACTTTGAGGAGGGCACCTCCCCCGATCCATGGGTCTGGCGACCGCGCGCCGAAGCCACGGATCGCTAGTCTTTGTTTGCGCGCCCGCGATGCCTCTGCCCTGCAGTCGGGCCTGTCCCTCCACAGGGGGAATTGTCCAAAAGAGT